CGCTGGGCATTAGGGAAAGCAGCAGTGGCAAGTGGGAGAGGGTGGGGAAGAGAAGGGGAGAGGGGATTGTCACATCCTTTAGGGGATTAAATTCCCTGGAGTGTCTCATGGTGCAGTTCCTCCAAAAAAAGAGGGGGGTTCCTCTGTACCCCTTTGGATCCACGTGTGTGTGTGTGTGTGTGTGTGTGTGTGTGTACTTTTTTATTCACTCAACCAGAAAACAGGAAAATGTTTGAATCTGAATTTGGGTTCCTATTTGCTATTACTGAAATAGGAGACAAGTTTCTCAGCAGTTCTTAAAATAGTCTCTGATTAACTGCTTGCTGCTACTAGTGCTATTGCACTAGTAAAGCAGGAGTACATCACGTTGACTGACCTTGATCAAAAGGGGAAAACAGTACAAGCTGCCCAATATTCATTAACACGTGCAAAGAAAACCAAAAGTATCACACATGGCAGTTCACAAACTGAGAGGAAAGGATAGTCAGTGTTGGTCGCATTGACTTGAGCAGAAAATGCCCAACTATAGCAATGGCTTTGATATAAGTGCCTAAATAGAGCAGAACAGTAGATCACTTAAATTAGGGAATAGAAAACACCATTTCAACAGTATTATTACTGATTAGAAAACTGCTACAAGTCTGACATTTTGCTAGACAGGCCCATTGAACTGGGAGGAGATGATATCTGCACCAGCATAGGGACAGCTGTAAAAAATGCTCCTCCGTCTCATGTTCTTGTCAATAAACTAGATGTTTTTTTCCAGAATCATGCAAGTGATGGCTATTTCCACTGCTGCAGTGAGGTTCTCCTTCATACAGGTATCACTCAGCAAACAAGCAGATACTCTACAGTCTGCACTTCACCACACTTGCATATATTCGTGCCATGAGAGTAGCCCAGGGGTGGGCAAAATATGGTCCACAGGCCACATCCAGCCCTCTAGGCTATTCTATCTGGCCTGCAGGAGCCCTAAAAAAATTTAGAAAATTAATACGTATCTATCTGTCCTTGATTCCTGTCAAAGATGATAGGAGCCAAGGGCAGTAGGACCCAAGGGAAGCCCTGGCAGGCTCCTGCAACAGTGGGACCCACCCAGCCCCCTGCCCCCCACCCCCAGCTGGAAGCTCCAGCAGGGGCTTCTGGCCTGGGAGCATGTGGCTCCTCGTGGCTCCACGGACACGGGAAACTCAGGTAAGAGTCGGGGAGAGAAGGACAGGGAGGACCGTGGACAGGGAACGAGCTAGTACTCAGGGCAGGGGAAAAACGGCCCCTCCACCGCCCCGTGGCCCATGCTATCTGCTGCAGCCACTCATAGCCTGCGCAGGGCTGTCCTGAGTAGGCATAGGCAGCCCCACGCGGGCTGCGAGGGGCTGCAGCATGGGGCACCAGCCATGGGGCAGGGGAGGGGCCGCTTTTCCCCGCACTGAGCACTATATTGTAACCCGCTCCCGCTGCCAGCCTGGGCCCCACATCGGCTCTGGGCTCACCTGTCAGGGCTGTGCTGCAGCGGGAGCAGCTGTGGCCCCCCCCCCGACACTTGCCGCGCCGGGCAGTGTTTGCTGCTGCTACCCATCCAGAGCTCACACACTGGGCAGCACAGAGGCAGCAATGACAGCGGCACTGCAGCCTACCATGGTGCAAGCTCCAGGTGAGTAGCAAACGCTGCCTGGCGCGGCAAGCAGGGGGGCCGCTTTCCTCTGGGCCAAGCAGCTGCTAAGTGCGGGAAAAAGCGGCCCCTCCCTCGCCCTGTGGCCGGCACCCAGCACTGCAGCTGTTCACAGCCTGTGTGGAGCTGCTTGTGCCTGCTCAGGACAGCTCCGTGCTGGCTGCAAGCAGCTGCAGCAAGGAGTGCCAGCCACGGGGCAGGGGAGGGGGCCACTTTTCCCCTGCACTCAGCACCAGCTTGTTCCCTGCTGGTGAGCACAGGGTTGGGACTGCACACTGCCCCCCACCTTTACCCCAGGGCTGAGGGGGGCACTGGGAGTAAGCAGGCACGGGAGCCAGCAGGAGCATGCAGCCCACACCAATGGCCCAGGGCCAGCGCTGGCAGGGCCCATAGCAGGGAGGCAGGAGTACTGGGTCCTGGCCGGTAGAGGCTCTGTGGAGCTGGGCCAGCTCCCCCTTCTCCCTGCTGGTGTAGCCCAACCCAGCTACACAGACCCTGCCAGTCTGCACCCCACTCTGGGCCTCACTGGCGCTGGGCCTGAGACATTGGTCCCAAAACATTGGTTCCAAGATGGTGACCAGGGGGCGGGGCACCTGTCAAGGGGTGGGGCTACCTATGCAGCCGACAGCTTGCCAAAACTGGGTAAGTGGCCCTCCACCCAAAATAATTGCCCACCCCTGGATTAGCCCCATTGCTCATGTTTGTTATTGATGTTCCAACGTGCATGTGCCGGTATTTCAGGCATCACCATGTTGGCCAGTCTAGATCAGCCCTTCTAGGAAGGTCCTCATGGGGTTCCAGGTCCATTTCAGAGCACCTGATTGCACATAATCTTTCTTTTCATAACCTCAGTTGCCCCCTGTCAGCCATCATGTCCAACAGTGTAACACTGGTCACAAAACTCACACTTCAAACCATTTAGTTATTTCTGTATGACTGTAGAGTGGATGCCTGGGGTCTTCCATATGCCATCATCTTTCTTTTTGGCTCACCACCTTTCTTCTGATATCAGGTGGTGCAATGGCAGCCAGTAAAGCTAAGCTATCTTTTAGTGTTAGTGTTAGACATCCTGTTATTTCACAACAGCTCTCATTTAGAACTGGGCCTAGTTTCTTGGCATGTTCCCATACTGGACATGCATACTCTGCAGTGGAGTAACACAAGTAACACAATAGCAGTGGTTCATAATATAGCTGCCCGGGTTCACTCCCTACTTTGAGGTGACCAACTTTTGAAGTACATGATCACAGGCACTGACTTTCCCTTTCATCTTTTCTACTTGCGCTTTGAAGGTAAGTGTTCTTTCCAGTGTAGCCCCAAAGTACACAGGGTTCAGGTGATTAGTCAGTGGGATTCTTTCCCAAGTTATGTTTAATTTCTGCTTGGCTTCTCTATGGTGCAGGTGAAAAGCTGTGACATGCATCTTGGTTGGGTTTCCCATGCTGCTACACTGCAGCACAAGGGAGGTGGGGGTTGACCCTGGGAGATCCAGAGGTCAAAAAAACCCATGCAGAAAAAAACTGGGGTGACACACATGGAGGCAGCATGCACTGCCCAAAACCAGTGCCTGGCTAGCCAGAGCCATGCTCCAGCTGCTGGCCACGCTCCCAGCTACAGGAGCAACATGGCTGCAGCTTCCCTGGTTCTCAGACCTCAGGTAAGACTACTGGGGCCAGCACAGTTATTGGCCCCAGCCTCCCCTACCCTACCTGAGATAACCTGCCATGCTCCAGAGCACACATGGCATGGGCGTTCTCTGGGCACAACTAGCAGCAGCACAAGATGTGCCATTGCTAGTTGTCCCCCAGGAGCCAAACATCTGCGCTCATCTAGACACGGCCTATGAGTTGGTCATTGGTATATATGTTAAAAAGGATCCATGCTGGCATACTACCCTGTGAGAGGCTGTTTTGTTGTCATCTTCAGTGGCTCTGTTCTTGCACAGTTCTACGTAAAAATGTCTATTCTCCAAAACAGATCAGATAAGCTGCATTAGGTGGTACTCATGAGTCATATTGGAGACTTTGGCAAGCAGGTTTTGGTGCCTGACTATGTTATATGCCACTGATAGGGATGATAACAGATGCTGTGTTTGTAGACCTTTCTCAAATCCTTAATAGGCTGTAATGCGAGTTCCATAAAGAGAACAGACTACCTACAGTGGACAGTGGTGAATTATTTATAAATTTTATAGAAAGACTGAAAGATGTTGTCAAGGGAACAGACAGAAAAAAACATTCTGAATATGTCACACTGAAAACTTAAGTGCCATTACATTGCCTGAAGCCTTTCCAGTTAAACACACTTCCTAATTAAGAGGTGCAGACTGAAATCCTGTTCAGCATGGCAGAACCTATAAAATAGGAACTAAAGAAAGGTGTAGCATCATAACATCAACTGCATTTTTTTATACCAGATTTATCTGGGATCTTGTTGCAAACAGAACCCTTAGACAAAGGGCTAGACCAAGGCAATTTATTTGTTGATAGAATAAAATATTATAGCGCGTGCATCTGTAAAAAACATAAAATAAAATGCCTATCTTTTTCTGACTCTACAAGAGAAGTATTTGGATCACATGAAACTGCAAGGTTTTGTTGCTGTGGGTGCTGGTGCAGAGACCTTATTTACAAATAAAGACTAGGAGACAATGTTTGGGACCTTATTTTAGACAAAAAATATGTTTTGATGTCTCCTTGTTTAACTTTCTCAGTTATCGATTCAGTTCCATACAATCAACAGGTGGCATAATTCAATATGTTCCGTATAAATGAATAGTCCTCCAGTGTAATTGACAAAGAGTCATAGAGTCTTTGAAATACCTTTATATTTTTAACAGAGAATAAGAACAAAATTCAACCCATGCTTTTTATCAGTAGGGTAAGGACTCGATCCTGAGAGGTAACTCCTCCTAGGCACCGGGGAGCTGAAACTGTTTTGATTTTTCAGAGGCATTCAGAAGCTTGTCGAGTTTAGTTCCTATATTCAGACCAGATGCCCCCAATCCATGCAGTATAGACTACTTTGTTTTCAGAGAAAAAGATGTCCGAGAAAGTCATAGAAAAACAATCCATTAACATTAGTTGCCTATGAACACACCAGACTGTGCTCACATCCATCTAAAAGAATATGACCCAAAGCCAAAATACTTAATCTATGGCAACCCTCTTTTTTTCCTGTAGAATTTGTTTGCTAGAAAACAAGGAATGTGGAAATTTTACATCATGTTCTAACTGCGAAGCCTGAATGACAGGGTTGTACTTAATGGTCTTAACTTAAAATGTTAACATAAAAGACAGCATTACCTTTGCCTCACTATTAAGAAAGCAATTGCTATTTAAAATTGCTTTGAACTTCTATCACTCTTTTCCTCTCCCCCGTGTCCCCAGTCAACTTAAAATTGGTAATGTTTTATCTTTGCCTCTAAGTCATAATCATAACCTTCTTGCTGTGTGAAAGAGGTCAGTGGGAGCGCTGCCATTCGTTCTTCCCCAACTCCTACAACTACCAGAGATGAATGAGGTGGCAGTGTATGCACTCCTTGGCACCTGCAATGATTCTGTCCTCTCAGCACTGAATCAATTTTCCCTGCCCCCACTTTGCTTCCCAAAGAGCACATCAGTCTGGAGCACATCAGCCATAAAAGTCCTGAATTCACTCTGTGCCCTACTTCTTTCCCAGGGCGTTGCACCCACCCCCCATCGCATTCATGTTGCTTGATGGCTTCATTTATATATGAAGTTGCCACACAAGCATCAGCAGCTCTGCAGCCACTTTCTTTCTGTAATAGCTATGGCATTACAGCAAAAGGGAGAGTTTACTATATCATTTTCAAAAATATTTTATTAAGCTAAGTTATTTTGTTTCTCCTGTCCTGTTTTCTTGTTCATATGTTTTATGAATATTATTGCAGCCATGCTCCCAGAGCGGGGCATCTACTTCTGGCCTCGCCACCCTTCAGCTCCTCCATGGGAGCTCTGCCTTCCTGCCTCGAGGGGCGGAGGAGCCCGTGTGCCGCCGCAGCGGCAGCCCCGCAGCCCCCATGGCGCAGTCCAGAGGCAGGTTGCACGGGCGGCGGAGGGGAAGGCTATTCCGTACTCCCCCTCCACACCACTGGTGGTACAGTCTGCTGGCTGGGCTATTTTCCCGCCTTTTGGGAAAAGCATCATGGTGACTCCTCCTGAGGAGAGAAGGGGGAAGGCTGAGGGGAGGGGAGGGAGTGAGGTGAACAAGGGCCTTATTTCTTCCTGGGCGCAGGCTCCCCATGCCCCACAGTCACAGACAGGCGATGCAGAGCCAAGCAGTGTCCCCAGTGCCTACCCACCATGCCAAGGAGAGACCAACCCTTGAGCCGCTGGCCCTGCCAGAGCAGGAGATGCATGAAGGCACCATGTCTCACTGGGGCACAATTTTGACTCTATTAATGGCAATGGGTGTTTTTGATAGCGCGGGGCGGTCCCACACGAGCATCCCTAAGTTCCAGCACAAGGGAGGATCTAACCCACTTTCTGAGGCCAGGTCACGTTGCTGTGTCTGCACCATGGCAGCAGTCTGCCCGGCCCTCGTTATGCCCTGCCCACAGCTCATGTACTCCTGTGCTGATGCTTACAGCAGACCCCAAGGCAACCAATAGCACTGAGCAGGGGGCAGCAACGTGCCTCAGTGTGGAGCTGGGGCCTGTATGCTCCATTGTGGGCAACTCCGGATAGAGTGAGTGGGCACCATAGCGCCTGCAAGGCACTGCAGTCAAAACTTCCACAAGCAGACTGCATCTAAATCTTCAGATTTGGATGGCCCGCCACTTTGACACACTGCAGAGCATGCTGCACGTCATCATGTGGCTTGCTGGAGATAAAGAGGGTTGTGTGTCTCATTGCAATATTCTTCAGTTGTTGTTGATGGCCGCCGCATCTCAGTGATCCCTGCCCTGTTAACCATATGCTGATTTCACAAATTAGGAGTAGAGAGGAGAAACACTGGAACTAATATTTGCTTCTTTTAAAATATTCCCAAGATTATTGCTACACATTATTTTTAACTTAGCACAAATGTGACATTTTATAGTTTAAAATATAGTAGAATTTAATTTTGTAAATTGACTTTTTTCTTTGTGTCTTTATGCGATGTTGAATAAGATACTAACCTTTTATATCCACACACAATATCCTTCCTTTCTTTTGTACTCTCACAATTGCCTATGAATAAATAATTAAAGCAAGATAAGAGCAAATGCCAGTGCCCGCCTAATCAAAAGGAGAAACAGAAAAAAAAACCCAGTAAAGATGTTACAATACAATATAAGAAATACTATTCCTCTGATATACCCTATTCTCTGGTTTTAGGTTGGTAGGCAGAACCAAAATGAAAAGAGTTATGTGGGGAAAAAAAGACTGATGGTTTTCTTTTTAATCTCATAATGTACTTTTACTGCCTTAATGGGATGAGACTGAATTGTTTGCCAGAATAGAGTAAAAGAAACTATTTAATTTAATTGTGATTATAGTCAGAATATCTACATTCAAATGGCACTGTTTCTTCTTGTAGTGAAAAAGATAAGAATATCCAGGGTTCAAAATATGAATAGAAGGTTTACTGCAAATAATGTCATTAGAAAAAGGAATATATATAACAAAAAGAGACTCATATGCCAATATGCAAACTTTCTTTTTTGATTTATTTGGAAAAAAGCGAAATAATCATAATAATAAAACATCTTCAGAAAAATATTTCTTTCTTTTAACTCTCAGTATTTCAGTTCAACAGAAGTCTATGGCACTCTTGACCTGGTGTGGCAAAGAACTGAGCACCTCTTCTCTTTCAACAAAATATAAAGGCATTCAGTACTTACCTAAAGGCATTCAGCATCTTGCAAATTTGGACAAATAGTAGCATAAAGTAGGCATATATAACAAGAATATGGGTTGTCAGTTCCCTGCCTTCCTACCCACTCAGAATTTGGAGTGTAAAACATAAATGGAAAATAAAAGAAGTAGCAAGAGAAAAGGAAGAGATGCATGACCATGGTGAAGAGGAATTAAGATAAACAAATAAAAATGCATATTAGAGTACAGAGTACTCTACATCTATATAGAGTACAGAGTTTGGCATTCATAAGTGCCTCATCAACAAGTATACTTTGGCGGGACATAGATATTTATAAAACTACCTAGGCAGGAAGGTCTAATCCTGTACAGATAAATTAAGAATCAGATTATGGAATAGGTCAGATTTTTTGCTAATTTTTCAAATCACAATGTAATGTTCATAATTATGAGAAACCACAGATTATTGAAATTCTTAATTAATTAATTTATTAAGAAGTAATGTTTGTTCAGTAAAGCTAAGCTATATTTCCTGTATACATTCTTAGACTGCCAGAGACTGAGCCTGGGCATCTTCCAGAAGTGTTGTAAGTTCTTCCTATTTGGGCAGGTGCTTAGCAGACAAAGCTAAGTTGGGATATTGTTTAAGGGAGAGATTACTATATAATTTTTTAAAATATTTTATTAAGCTATTTTGTTTCTCCTGTCCTGTGCTCTTGTTCATATGTTTTATGAATTATTTTACTCTCTTCTCTAAGCCACCCTGAGCCCTTGTCTGGAAGGGCAGCATATAAATCTGATAAATAAATACATGCATTAGCCATTTAATTATTTTGCATGAACAATGAATGAATCCAAAAAACAGTTATGTATTAATCACAGAAAGTTAATTTCCTGATATTGTATTTGTACTAATAGTAGCTAAATATATACAGATTTAGTTTAGATCGCTAAGAGTATCTGTTGATTTAGGTAACAGGCATCACCTTTGTGCCACCTAAATATTTTTATGATGGCCCAAAGGCCAAGCAAACAGATGTCAATACCCCTTGTTGCACCACAAATGCCCAAAATTTGTGGCCACAAAGTAGGTGGTATCAATTTCTGTTACTTTATTGCATCAGATGTCTTTTACCTTTATGATGGGAGAGCATGGTCAGCCCAAAATTGTCCACTTTCTCCAGCTGGCCTGGGGCTGGTGTTCCTGGGGCTTGAGGGGCCTCATCCTGCATGCCCAGGGAATTCCTATGCAGGATCACGACCCTCAAACTGCAGGAGCACCTACTCAGCTTTCCCCGGTTCCAGAGACACACCCCACTCAATCTCCTAGACATATCTCTATTAGTAGGGAGCTCCAACTTCCCCTGCCTACGGAGATGTGCCCAGGAGATTCCCCAGGGCGCATTTCTATAAGTGGGGAAACACATTACCTATCATTCCGCAGCAGTGGGCCCCTGCCTAATGCCAGACAAGAGGCAGCATGTGTTGCACACAATGAAGCAGATTAGCTGTGCCAGGGCACTGCCTACTGCAGTTCTTCCGCCTCACTTGGCAACATTTGTTTATACCTCTGACATAATTAATGTGTTAATCAAAAATAGTCATTTGCATCTACATTCCAGTTTAATTTTATCTTCAGTATTTTTATCTATTCAGGCTTTTTTATAGTATGCATTTCAAACTATGATCTTGCTATTTTGCCTCTTAGCATATCTAAAAAGTGGATATATAAACCAGCAGACAGCTAAAAGCTGAAGTTGCAGCTCTGTCCAGAATTAATTTGACATTTCCTGGTGCTCTGATTAAAGTAATCAGAGCACCAGGAAATGGTGCACCAGAGGTGCACCAGAAATACTGTTGTCTTGGATGGGAGCAAAGTTTGGCCAGCACTTTTAAAAATTGTACTTGCCTTTTGTTGTAAAGCTATTATCTATGCATTAATACAGGGCTTCCTGGCCTCAGTTCAAATAATTGTTCAAAAACTTTACATATAAAAATCAATTTAAGCCTGAGTAGTAGGTATGGCAGTAGAATGTGAACTTATAAAATATTTGGCTATATTTGGCATTAACTTACACACTGAAAAATCCCTCTGACTTCAATACCATCATATAGCTCTACAGAAATGTCAAATTACTGAGATACTTGCCATTCAGCTTGAGAGTATTTTCCCAACCTTTCGGACATGTGAACATCATTAACACTACTAGTAATAATGATTTTTTTATTTTTAAAAAAGTGGTTCTCAGATCCATGGGACAAATAAGATGTCTAGAAAAATAACTACAGTCCTTGTTGGCTTATTAATAATCATTTTACTTAGAATGTGTTTATTTCTAGGATTGATGGCAATTTACTTTAATGTTCAAGATTATTTGATTTGTATTCACATGCATGAAATCTCTGTGACAGTGTGAACAAGGAAATAATTTAGCTCACCAAGTAGAAATTCTTAAATCAGTATTCCTTTTTATATAGTAAATACTGACTGTTATGTTCTAGAAAAAATTAATCAGACCAGTGAAGCACACGTGAAGACAATGGTGAATCCTGACAAACTTTTAGATGATTTCTCACAGATAGAAAAGGTATGTGAGGAAAATAAATACAGTTGAAATCACATTTTTTTTAAATCTAGGGACTCGTTTTCAAATGATTATTTTTCTGCTATAATGGTATCTGCATATTCTTACTGCTTGTGTGATGTTTCTCTAATGCTAGAGAATGTTGGGAACCTACTGGAAAGTTGTGTATTGTTAACCAAAGAAGTAACCTTACTCACCACTGAATATTTGAAGCCAAACTATAAAATGGATGCATTGTCCTTTGGGTAGGCAATGATGCAAAACTTCCTTAGTACTGGTATTCATTGTTAAATTGTGTTGTAATTAGTTAGGAACTGTTACATTTGTTTGAGCCATTGTGCACTTTTGTCTAGCCTAGGGTCTTTGGAATTTTGTGTCATGAGTCCTTAGGTCCCAAAGATTCAGATAAGGATTGTTTTAAGTGCTGAGTTCATCTTGTGCATATTTCTGCAGACAGATATCATTTCTGTTGTTCTGCTTCATGAATCCTTGTTCTGCAGATTATTACTCAGTGGGCAGTGCTTACTGCACATTTATTTAGTACTTGATTATACAAGTACTAAATTAAATACGCAGTAATGTCACTAAGAAGTGTGCTCTGGTGCTACTTTGCAGTACATCTGGTTACTGCACATTTATTTAGTACTTGATTATACAAGTATTAGATTAAATGCTCAGTAACCAGAAGTACTGCAAAGTAGCACCAGAGCACACCATTTTAGTGACATTATTGTGCAGTAGCATATTAACATTGTGCTGTGATGCACTCCTGCACAGTTAGTGTCTCATGTAGACATGCCCTGACATGTAGTCAGAGCTTCATGCCTCAGACCCACAGGGAGGCAGCAGCAGAAGCAAGGTGCCCTTATAAGTCTGCCCCTGGTAGCTTCCTCTGCTTCAACTTCAAAGCCAGACAAGTCAGGCAGTGTTTTCTCTAAGCTGTATGGTATGCGCAGCCATGCAGGCACGCTCATGCCGAACTGCCAGGCCCACCTGCGTGGCCACACATGCTACACTGCTTAGAGGGAACAGTGAAATCAGGAACAACTCTTAGTCCAATGCGAGTGTTCATGGAAGTAAGTTCAGATTCCCAAGAATTTTGTATTTAGATACCTATAAATACACAGAGGCACCTAAAAGTCTGACCCATAGATCCTAATTCACCCATATCAAGCCATCATTGGTACTGTGACTATCTGCTCAACAAAGTGAGCCTTCTGGTGCTGTGACCAATTTTGGTTTATATGTTAGTTTCTCACCAGCATCAGGATCTTCTCCAGTATCAGAAGAAACCTGATATTCACTGGTATGTCTGTCCAAAGCTCTCTTCAGTACCAAAAGATCATGTTCCATTGGAACAAGACATGGGGACACCTCCTCCCTGCAAGCATAGTCCATGGCTTTGAGGAAATATGCCTACTCGGGCAGTTCCCACAAGTGGTTAATATGCAGAGGAGAACCCAAGTGAGGAGGGAGTTGGGGGATATAATGACTTCCCATGAAAACTGTTTAAAAGTGTTTCCTCTGCATATTTATGCTACTCACATACCTTCCCCCTTATCAAATTCCAGCAGTAGTTAATGGAAAGGGCTAGATCTGGCCCATAGACTTTTGGAATTCTGACACCAGCAGGTCAGCATACCCCTTTATAATGTTGACTTAGAATATTCATTCTGCAACAAAGGGCATTTATACATGTACCTTTTTATCCTGCAATACATTGGAGATCCACTGCTTCAGAGCAGACTCAATTAATCAAGTCTTCTCCCCATGTGAGCTTATGTACACTGCCGCTGTGCCGCGTACAGTTGTATAAGTGGTGAAATGTGCGTCAGCATGCAGAAAATGGCAGGAGTGCACTTTTGAACAAAAGCACCTCCAAGGGGTTTTAGTTCAAAAGCAGACTGCTGCCATTTTCTTTGCACTGATGCACATTTCACCACTTATACAAGTGCAAGCGCCGCAGCACCAGGCGCTTTTCAAAGCACCCAGCGCTGCAGCACTTGCACATATAAAAAAGCCCAAAAAATCCAAATGGGTCCAATGTCCCAACATTTCTGAAGGACATTGGACCTGTTTGGATTTGATTGATTGATCACTTGATTCCTGAAGTTCTGCATCAATGGAGAGAGACAACCACAAGGTGATGCTCAATAGTGGGTGTGTCTACACATGCACTTTAATGTGCAGTCTCCTGTTTTTACTGTGCATTAGAGTGTCATGGCAAAAACTGTGCTGGTATGCTAATGCACAGTAAAATTAGGCTACTGCATATTATGCATCACTAAAAAAGCATGCACTTTCACTACAGTGCATTAGGGAAGCCTAATGCACATTTAGTTAGTACCTCACATTAGAGGTACTAAATTTAATGTGCACTAGCAAAAGCATATTCATGAACATATAGACACACCCAGTGTGATTTTAAGTAATGCTTATGAAGCCTGGAGACCAAACTATTCATTATCTATGGTGGAAACTGGAAACCCAATCTATACAGCTAATGCGTTATGTCAATAGAATAGACATGGGAGATGCGTACTGCACTATTCTATAAATCGTAACTGGATAGTTTTCTTTTAATATTTAACTTAACATCCTAGGATGTAGATGAAAAAAAATGAGCAAAAGATTTTAACTGAGCATTAACTTGAAGCTTTGTCAATAATTTTCTATAGAAAATGTCAGAAATTAATGAGAAGAATAACCTTCTGGTTCTTGAACTAGAAAAATCTAACAGGCTATTAACATTAAGTCAATCAAAGGAAGATTCAATAAAAGAAGGTAAGTGTCTCTCTGTTTACTGTTGAAAAATTAGTAGATTCCTTTCTTATATTTGGCAAGTTCATAAGTATAATTCCATTATCTCCTGTCATTCAAGAGTAACGCAACAAGGATCAGAGATGTCCTATAAATGAAACACTTTCTATACATTTTTTCTTCTTTAGTTAGATATCTTATTGTAATCCTAAGAAGTTCATCAGCCCACCACAACATGAATTTTTTGTTTGAATAGGCCCTACATGATAAGGAAAAAATGAAAACCCAAATATTAAATGTATTTGCTTCCTGTTATAAAAATTGCATCAAATCTTATTCATTCTTATGACAGCTTTTAAATTGTTCTTTTTCTGTAGGACCCCAAATAATTGCATCCACTCTCATAAAATAAAGAAATTATCAGAAGCATATTCATTTGTATAAAGATATTAAGTAAAGATTAATTAAATTAAATTTAAATTTTTCATAATTTAATTATTGGTAATAATTTGAGTGATTCAAAATATCACTGTCTTTTTCTGGAATGAGTTTCACTCATATATAATACAGCTAAGATTCAGCCAAAAATATAATGCCTAACGCTTGTAAACAATAAGATTTATTTTCCTTTCAACAGAAACATTTATTAATACGAATATATTTAGATTATAGGAATGATTCTATATTCCCTATGGGAGCAAACTCATCTTTTATTTATTTTTCTTTGTTTTCTTCCTATTTTGGTTGCAGTTTTTAACCTCTGTTCCCTTCTTTCTTCATTCTTTCTTTCTCTTTTAGGGTTCATCTATAACAGAGTGGCAGCAAGGTTCTAATCCTGGAAGAATATCAGTGAGGCTACTCTGGGCTTGTTCCTCACTACCCACTCTTGAATCCTCAGTTGCCAGCCTATCTGTGAGTGTGGAGTGGCTTCACTGGTATACTTCTAGACTTTCTTCTTTTTTATGACTTTCTTTTTTTGTGCTTTTCATGGATCTTGTTTTCCAGATCCTTTGCATTTTTCCCAGAAATTTTCTTTTCCTTTTTTCTCTAGTTTTCCTTCTTCAATGGCCTATGGC